CTGTTGAAAGAAGCACAGTGTTCGGCAGTTATGATTCATTGTTTGGAAGCTTTAGAAACATTACATGATTATACCAATGCATGATTTACAACCTGACTCTGGTCATGTTATAAAAAAATATGACTGTGTGTGGGTGAAGTATGATGGTTATTATAGTATGTTATATTTTTTTATAATGTATTACTTTATAAAACATTATATAAAAGGGAGCAATCTTAATTTTTCTTCCTTTATTTCGCCACTTTTTTCTGTAGGAATTACTAGTACTAATGCTAAGTTATCTCAGTTATTCTATATCCAGCCCTAACAGCTCTAATATATAAAGTAAATAATACCAACAGCATATTTAGCAAAACATTTTTTTCAATGAATATTTTCAATGAACCGAATGAATGGAACTGAATTGAACTGCAGCGGATCTTGATTAAACACTTTATGAAAAGGATTTGACTAATGGAGCAACAAGTTATTAACATTGCGAAAAACATATGGATTTTGTTCAATAAACAAGTTAATGTTGAGTTACATTTAAACAAGAGTGTTACTTTATTTATTTTTGTCTCAACAACAAAAACAGATCCAAACAAAGTTAAGTCTGAATCAATCAAGCTACACACAGTAGTGGTGTTTCAACTTGAATGAATTAGTGTTATTGAACAAATTTGTTGAGTGATTCAATGACTCATAAACATCGAAACGACCTGTAGAAAGAGCATGCTAGTACAAAATATTAACATGGTTTTAATAACATTTACATTGAGGGATGTGTCAATACAGAAAATCATTTTATTTGAAATTTACCGAAACTATCCAGCATTTACTTGTTCTGTACTAATTGTAATATCAGACCTTTGTGTTTTAAAAGGGATGGTTCACCAAAAAACGAAAATTCTCTCATCATTTACTCACTCTGTTTTTCAAACCTGTATGAATGTCTTTCTTCTACCTAACACAAATGAAGATATTTTGAAGAATGTGGGTAACCAAACAGTTGACGGTCCACATTATGGAAAAAAAATACTGTGGAAGTCATGGCTACCATCAGCTGTTTGGGTGAGTAAATGATGACAGTTTTCATTTTTGGGTGAACTATTCCTTTAGAAATATTGTTTTACTGTTCTAGCCCTTTTTTTGTTGTTGTTCCTGTGCTGATCATCAAAACAAAGTTTACCATCTCTCTGGAGAGCTGAGTAAATTATTCATAATTTTATTAATCAGAGCCCTACTGGGAAGTTGTATTGCTTCATCAAGAATGTCAGTCTATTTCTGTTTATTCAGCAAAATATATCTACTTATCGTAACCTTGTCATTGTCAGAGTCCACCCAAAGTGATTCATATCCAGAGTGGAACCACTGACCAGTGATCAGGCATTGCACAGCCAGCGTTGTTTACCTGAACATTATTTATTTGATCCAAAGTACAGCAAAAGCAGTAATGTTGTGAAATATTTTTACAATTTAAAATAACTTTCATAATATTGCTGTGATCAAAGGTGAATTTTCAGCATCATTACTCCAGTCTTCAGTGTCACATGATCCTTCAGCAATCATTTTAATATGCTGATTTGCTGCTCAAGAAACCTTTTTTAATTATTATTATCAATATTTAAAACAGTTGAGTACATTTTTCTGGATTTTCAGGATCAGCATTTATCTTAAATGAAAAGCTTTTGTAACATTATACACTATACCATTCAAAAGCTTAGAGTCAGTATAATTTTTTTTTTGTGGATAATTTTTAAAAATTATAGAAATGAATACTTTTATTTAGCAAGGATGCTTTAAATTGATCAAAAGTGATGATAAAGACATTTATAATGTTACAAAATATTTCTATTTCAGATAAATGCTGTTCTTCTGAACTCTCTATTCATCAAAGAAACCTGAAAAAATCTACTCAACTGTTTTCAACATAATAATAATATTTTTTTGAGCAGCAAATCAGAATATTAGAATGATTTCTGAAGGATCATTTGACTGGAGTAATGATGCTAAAATTTAGCTTTGAAATCACAGGAATACATTTTAAAATACATTTAAAAAGAAAACAGTTATTTTAAATAGTAACAATATTTCAAAATATTACTGTTTTGCTGTACTTTGGATCAAATAAATTGGTGAACAGAAGAGACTTCTTTAAAAACATAAAAAATCTTACTGTTCAAAAACGTTTGACTGGTAGTGTATAGGCAACTTAAAAAATTCTCTTATTTCTAGCTTTTAATTGGCTAAGAAATCAGATACACTGCTGGACAATAACCAATAATAATGATTTGTTTATATACTACAAACGTACATATATACATACATACTTTTTACATATATACATACATACTTTTTTTTATCACGTAATAAGGCAGAATCGTTTCTATACTGTAATGAATGCTATCAATTAGCACTGCATTGTTCATGTACTTTATTTATTACCTGGAGATGACTTGAACACCACAAATAAACCATATATTGTCGCAATCATATGTTTAATGTCTTCATGTTTCCAAACGTTTCTGTTTTACTGTGAAAGTAAACAACTGTTTTCATACAGCGATAGACGCTTTTGTCCATATGAGTGATTTCCTGGTACGACTTCTGAGCAAGAGCGCTCTCCGGAAACATACACTGCATGGATTGTTTAGCGCTCAGTGATGTTCATCACGTTCATTCTGGGTCCGAATAAAACATCAGGTCATGCACAGACTATCCTGTCTCTTTGAATTTAAATCTATATTTATTCACACCGGCTCTTGAAAACCTCTGCAAACACACTTGCCTGAAAAAGTGTGGGGGACGCATTTACGTGATATTAAAAGTGTGTTGGGGGGGGGGGCACGTCCCCCGCGTGATCTACGCCCCTGCCTGAACAGTGTTGCCAACTTAGCAATTTTTGTAGCAACTTTTCAGACTACCCTAGCAACTTTTTCTTCCAAAAGCACCTAGCAACAAATTTAGCTTTTTTTTTCCTCATTTATTTGGCAGCTTTTAGCAACTTTTGATAAGTGACTCAAACGATAAAAAGGCACAATTTACCATTTAAATTACACAAAAAGAGGAAACCAAAGATGCCTAGCAGTACACACGTTACAGGAATTAAGTTAGCTGCTATTTGCAATTGTTTAATAGTAATAATAATAATAGAATAGTGTTATTTTTCATTTATGAGACACATTGTTAGTAGCTTGATTGTTGATGAGTTACACTGTTTCTTACAGTACACTGTAAGAAAAATATGCAGAAAAATGGAAAAGGTGCTAGTAATTTTCCAGGACATTATCCGTTATCCGTTGTAACCCGAAAACACAAAATACAATGTGTAATTAAAAATCCAGGTACAAAAACCTGTGGAAAAATCAATCCAGAAAATTCCTTCATATTAACGCAGTAGATTGTGCATTATTTTTTTACTTTTCTTAGAGTGCAGCATACTAACTAACTACTAATAAACTGCTTTAAAGTATAAAACTTAAATTGTAATCGTTCAAAAATGTGTACGTTTTCGATAATTCAATGGGTTAAAAAATAGTTATTTATATTTTAATATTATATTATGCATTTATATTGCTACGAACAAATCTAAATTAACTAGATTTGTAATAAAAAATATATATGTTTTTGCTGAGATTTGACAAATTTGCATCGTGATTACGTAATGACGTCATCACGCAATGTCATCACAACATAATTGAGCAACTTTTAGCAACAAATCAACCTTCCTTTAGCAACTTCCCCTGAAAATTAGTTGGCAACACTGGCTGTAAACTGCCGACGGTCAACAAATGACATTCTGTGGCAGCTTCATGCTTCCACAACAACCAAAAGATGGCGCTTTTGTCTGACAGTGTGAAGCTTCACAAATAACCTACTTAATACTATATCTAACCTATAAAGAAGTGCTAACCTGCATGACAAAGAAATATACAGATAGAAGTTCTATGTTTTCAATAGGCTACCTACAAGACAGGGTGATCACTTGGACTTGCTGTATTGATCAATGTGAATAATCATCAGAATACTGGGTACACCGAGAGAGAACACCGGGGCTAGTTGTCACACTTTTCACTCCAGTTAACATTTTTCAGTGTAGGTTTACATTTGTCAATTTATGTATAAGGCAATGAGGCTAATGGGGCACGTTCACATTCATAATGAGAATATGATATTAAATTATCACTAGTGTTTTCAAACAGAACAAAGACTTCTAACCGTGTAGTAATGGGTGTGAAGCACAAAAGACGCCACTCTGCTCCAAAAGAATGATGTCACCTGAACTCAAAGGACCTCGATGCGCATGCGCGGGAGTTAAAGCGCGTTTACTGTATCCCTTGTGACAGAAAGCACGTGCATATATGCACGACCAAAATATGCAAGGACGCCCGGAACGCGATTTCTATAGACGGGGCCCGAGCCAATATACTGTCCAGGGGTCCAAGAAACTCCTCTGAAATTATACTAGGCTATAACACAATTGTTGTCAATTTAGAACCAGGATCAAATTTGTCTGAAAGATGTTCAAAATAGATTGTGATTTCATTCTCTAGCATGTATTCGATCTAGATAATCCTTTGTGTATTTGAAGTGTGTTTTTAGATTTAGTTAGCCTATATTTTAGGCTATATTAGGCTACACTGCAAAACGAACGTACAAAATCGACGCACAAAATAAATATAACACATAAAAAGAAATATGAACCAAAACAACTCTCAGGGCTACTCAGGGGTATCAAAATGAATAAGCACTGAAAATGTAGCTAATAATTGAAACAATGTAGGCCTACTACAATCATAAAAAACAATTCTATAGTCTAAATTAGCAATAAATCAAATTAATACGCTTCATTAAATGGGTTACAAAAGAAGGGTATTAGTTAAAATAATTTATGCCGAATAAAGAAAGGACAGGTGTGTAAAACATGTTCATGTAGCCTACTGCCAGAAGATGGTGCTCTATGAATGAATTCAGCGTTAAAGCTGTGTGTGTGTGTGTGTGTGTGTGATAGAGAAAAGGCAGCATCACCGCGCGCTCTGCCTCCGTTGCCTCTGCGCGAGCCGCAGCGATTCGCTCCTTCAGCAGCCGATGCTTGTCCCTCACTGTGTCAAAATTCAGAGAACAGTTCGTTTCCTTAAATAACCTCAGCAGAGCATGAACGTAGGATTCTTATCCAGCTGAGTTACGGATTTAAAGCGGAGAGAGAAGAAGCGTTTGTTCCCTGGACATCATTTGGTGAGTGTACAATGTCATTCCATCGCACTTAGTGTTTGTTTGCGGGGTAATGCAATTTCAGGTTAGCTCAGTTCTATTAAAGATGTCTGTTATTTTGGTTAAGATGGAGGAAAGTAGCACAAAATTCAATTCCAACAAACCTGCCTCAATGTGCTGAATGAAGAGAGAGAGAAAAAGAGCTCAGGCATCTGTGCTCAGTTTAACAATAGATTTTGGCATCGCAGCTCATTTAAAGAGACTGACCCAAATTTGAAATGGAAGGTGGGTGAGTGGAAGGTGTAGTGAATTTGGGAATAAATAAGGACGTGATTTTTGTCTCTCTCTTAAACACCTGAACAAAGCTCTTTAATGACATGGAGGGTAACTCTGCACATCATTTGCAAAGATTTTTCACCTTGAGAACGGTATTAAGTTGATATAAATGGCTATTTGAGATACTTTAATCCAGAGTTTCTGCTGATGATTTGAAATGCCACGAGGACTACCAGCACATCCCCATGAGCTCAGTTTGGTCCACTTCCAGCGTTGTCAGACTGAATATAGGGTTTCGAGATATCTACAACTGTTACTTTGCCATTGTGTACCATTTAAAATAAGCACTGTTAAGCAACACTGGATGTTGTTGTAGACCTGGGGTGGAAGTTTAAAGCTCCTCACACTAATTAAAAGTCTTGCCTTTATGTTCAACTGCCGTTTAAAACCATCATGAAGTGATGTTATCCTTATGTCAAGACTATTGTTGTTTACAAATGCATTAATTGGTATTTCAGGTGTGAGTATTTTACAGTGCTGGAAAGGAGGTGACGAAGCCTTTCCATTAGGAGGGAATGCTGTATTGATCTGGAGAGCTGACTGGCAGATCTTTCCACAGGGTGCCTGATCGCATCTGTAAATAAGCCCATTGAATGAGCTGTAGATGATGAGGGACAAAGCTGGATCAAAAGGGTGTAATGTTATCTACAGAATGCTCAATGCTGGCCCCTGCAAATTTCACAGTTTCGCATGAAATGCACACCGCTTGCGGCATACTAATGGGATGAAGGACGTCTAAAGCACTGAGATCCTGTTTATCAAAACATCTCAGTTATCTCCTTGCTGTTTGTTTGAAAGCATGCACGGACAGAGAGATAACGGAGAGCTTCAGTTTTGTTTTCTCTTACCGGGCCAGAAGATTTGGCCGGATCGTTATTAATTCTTCTCGTCTGCCGTCTCTCAGTTGTCTTCTGTGCTGTGGCAGCATGCTTGAAAAGCACCATGTGTTTGGTGATGAAAGAGGGAGAACGTGTGAAGTGCTTTTCACAGATATGCACCATTTTAACAGACAGATTTCATGCCTGGCTTTCAGGCCCCTGTTCGAGGAAAATCAACTTGTTGCCAGGTCATCAGGCACGAATGCTGTTGGATGAAGATGAGAAACTCTCAAAATAAGTATTATTTGAGTTATTCAAATGAATCAGGATTGTAATGGCTTGTTGGTGTGTAACTGTACGTCAGTAGACACTGATCCATTATGGGTTTTGCTGTGCAGATTACTAATTAGTTTAGCTATCAAGGTCTCCAAAGGCTAATTGAGCACCTAGAAAGCCTGGCGTTTAAGAAACTGTCACCATATTTGCTGTTCCATGATATGAATTATTTATTTCATCGAGCCTAAGGTGAGGCTTGGGCTCTGTTGTTAACCATGGGACATATCTTGGGTTACAATGAGTGGTGGTTCAGTTTTAATTTGGAGCCACATGGCTTTATTTGCTCAGATTTTCCCTGCTACATGGACACGTGACAGGTTCAGGTTAAAAAGGGATAGCACTTGCATGATATTTATATAGAGCTAACAAACATCATATACCGGTGGGCAATTGCAAGCTTAAAAAAAAATACTGTCACTTTTGTTGACTCATTAAGCTTGAATTAGTGAGGTCATTGCCGCCAGAAGGGACAGGTTCAGCATAACACATAATTCTGTGGGCTACCAAGGATCTTAATAAGCTGATGATGATGTCAAGTCTCATTTTATGAGATTCTAACATTATCAGCTGTTCATTATTCATCTGTGTAAGGTAACAGGTTTGATTCCAAGGTAATGCATTGGCATATACAGAAAATGTGTAGGTTTTTGGATAAAATGATTTTGGATGTTAGATTTTATGTATATATTTAACAATGGCTGCGTAAATGGTATTATTACAAAAAATATGAAGAAAATGTGCCCTAGCAAAATTTGTCGACATGGTAAAAAGTGGTGGGGAGTTTTGCAGACTCTTTCTGCAGGTTACATTGTTACACCAGTTGATGGCGATGGTGACCGTCTTGGCGATAGTGACCGACCAACTGGTGTAAGGATGTATGAGTCAAAAATAGATGAGTCAAAAATCATAGACTAATAAGATTTGTTCAAAATACTGATTCAGTCAGCAATGAAACAAGTAACTTTAAAGGGGTCATATGATGTTGCTAAAAAGAACATTATTTTGTGTATTTGGTGTTATGAAATGTGTTTATGCGGTTCAAAAAACACATTATTTTCCACATAGTGTACATTATTGTTTCTCCTCTATGCCCCGCCTTTCTGAAACGCGTCGATTTTTATAAAGCTCATCGGTCTGAAAAGCGAGGATGCCCTTATTGGCCAGCTATCCAGTGCGTTGTGATTGGCCGAATTCCTCAAGCGTGTGACGCCCCTGAAAATGTTACGCCCCTTACCATATTGTGATGCCTTATGACGAGACAAAAACATTAAAACCAGTTATAAAGGAGGCATTTGTTGCATCCAGTGGGGACATAATTATGGATTATAATGACTTATACTGTCTTTTTACGGGTTGCATCGCGCCGCGTAAACATAAAACCATGTCTGCATTTGTGATCAGAGAAACGACAAACAACAAGTGCTACTCTACACTGCTCATCGTGACGTAGACGTGGGGGTGTGTTAGAACGAGCCGTTTTAGGTAGGTGTGGTTGACTCTTAACTTTTATAAAGAATATCTCTTTGGATTTGAGACTTTAGTCTTTGCAACTTTACAGATCTTCTTTATACACCAAGAGCTTGTAACACTCCAAAGAGAAAGGAAAAATTTAAATCGAATCATATGATCCCTTTAAAGTTGCATCCGAAATGGATTACTTATCTAGTATATGTTCTGTGAAAAAGAGTACGCCAAACACAGTACTTGAACAACAGTAGATGAAAAACTCACATACCATACTATTTCTGGAGAGATTCTGAAGTGTGCTTTATGGACACTTTACTTTTTCTGTATCTGCTTTGAGGCCAGGAGAGAGGATTTGTAAATGGCAATGAAGTCAAGCAACTGATGCTGCTGGTCACATGACCATATGGCAGATGTAGTACATCCGAATTTCATTCATGCTATATAGAACATACTTTTTTAGGGGTCACAAAGTTCGAATTCAAATGTAGTACAAATGTAGCAGTATGTGATTTTGGACACACCATACAAGTGAGTTATTAAATCATTCACCCAACCAATTAGTTCAAAATGCTGATTCATTTAGTGACGAAACACAGCTGTGTTCCTCGGAGACGTGGTTGATGCTGCCGTGGTTTTCTTTTGAATTATTAATGTTAACAAAAATGGACCTAGCAATATTGTGTCTAAAATGTAAGTTACGTTCTCCATCACTCTAAAAGTAATTTTACACACTTTCATTTTTTAAATATGGGTTTGAGGTAGTTTCACGTGGCATACTATGCTTTGTCACAAGAATTGTAAAGTATGACATAATAGGGGAGAGTGGGGTAAGATGTGCCACTTTTAATATTGTCTTTTAGGAAATGAGACATGAGATCAGAGTAACATATTTCAATACACTATAATAATTGTAACATTGTAAAAATAATAATAATAATTGTAACATTTATATAATTTATGTGCATAAATGTATGCATATCTCATGATATCTCTCATTTCTGAGTTTCTGAGTCATTACAAAGGCAGTGCCATGAGCAGCTGATGCACACACAGTGTTGGGCACCTGCAGGTCTAGCAGCAGAAACGATGACCTCAGACCCCTTTTCCCCAGTAGAGGGTGCAGTGACTGACTGATTACCTCAACCTTCTCTGGGGTGCTGCCTGCAGAGTCACGCTTCACTGCATGTAATTATCAAGGATGAAACCATTTTCTAAGCGTTTGCCTTTTCCTCCCCTTCTGATTCCCTTGTGTCGTACCCATCCAAATACAAAAATTTTACTTGATAGAGGGGCTACCTATTATGTCGCCAACAGTCAGTGTAAACCAATGAGACTTGATTTATATTTAATAGTTACAAAATTGTTAGAAGTTCTTGTATGGAATGGAACATTGTGGTTACACTGGACCGAAAAGCAAAAATTCCCAATAAAAATTTGCCTTTTGTTTGGAATAACTATGCAGATACATTTTTTTAAATTTCAGTATTGCTATAAGCAGCTGCGCTGTTTTTTTCAGTTAGTGTCACTTCAATAACATCTAGGGTCTAAGAACTTTAAAAATATTGTGTAGTATTGACCTAATAACAGTGAGATTATACATTTGTCAGTGTTGTTAAATGCAAAATATTTGTTTTAACTACACTCCTGTCAGACTCTGTTCCATGTCTTGTGTGTATTTTCTTCCCCCACGTGCTCCCCATGTGACATTATGCCCTAATTTGGTTATCTTCCTGTTCCTGTTCCTGTCCTCATAGTTGATTAGTTTCTCCCTGTGTCTCATTATTAGTTATCCTCCTCACCTGTCTGCCCCTCGTTATCTGCCCTATTTGAGTTCTAGCCCGATCTGTTCTCCCTTGTCTGGAATTGTATATGTCTACCTCATCTGCTACGGGTGTTTTCCTGGTTCCCTGAATGTTATTAAAACTTCCTTGTTGATGTACTCCTCGTTTCCTCTCTCCACGCTCCCTCACAGTAGCAACGTGACAACTCCAACTATATTAAAAGCAAAATATGTAATTTATTGCAAAATTAATGACTGCTCCAAACACTTAGCCCATGGTTAAGCCA